ACAATAAATTCCCTTTCTGGAAACCCCCAAAAATGTCTTACAAGTTGATTCACAGGACTCAGAAAAAATAGCATGTGCAGCAGAGAGCTGATGTTATTGGTGGCACGGAGCCAGATTCACTTAAAAAAAAGATAACTGGGCATTCAAACTCAGTTCTGTATTTCATGGGTGGGACAGAGGAGACCATATATATTTTACCATCAGGGGAAACAGACGGCATATTCTTCTTCTCTGGTCAATCTACAGAAAAAGAGGTGAGAAACCCCTTTTATTTCTTATAATGTCCAAATTTTACCCTCACAGTATGGGTATTTTCTATCCTTAAAGTAAAAGACAGAAAATATTAATATTTTTAACACACATTGTGTTAAAATTTTATTCTTTTTAGGTTTTTTTTTGTCTTTTCCCATGCAATTTTGCTTCTTCTTAACTACATAATTATGAGATAAAATTTGTAAAATTTGCAAGGCTGCAAAACACATTTAAATTCTCTCCAGAAGTTGATTCTGTTCATCTGTAACATTTTCAGTGGGAGAAACGTTTTGTCACTCATCCAAGTGACTGATCAGTGGTTGTTGATCAATGGTCATGAGAATTTGCATAATTAAGATTAAGGACTGACCTCCCAGCCCATTGTTCCTTCAGTGGTGCTGGTTTTAGTCATTATGCAAATGTCTATAAGTAAGTAAGTAAAATGTATTTACATAGCACTTTTTAAAACAGGAAGTTATTTCAAAGTGCTTCACATGGTAATAAAAGCATATCAAATGAAACAATAAAACACTATAAAGAAGGTATAATAGCACAGCCAATAAAACAGTATACTACACATGAATATTACCTAACTGCCTGTCTAAACAGATGTGTTTTTAGCTGTCTTTTAAAAGAAGCTACAGAGTTGATGGTGCGTAGCGGGGGAGGTAAACTGTTCCACAATATTGGAGCCAAGGTTTTAAAATCGCAATCCCTCTTGGTTTTCAAACGGGTCCATGGAATGGTTGGAAGTCAGTGGGTCTAAGGATTCGGTTTGGACAGTAGGGTTGGGGAAGCTCAGTGACATAAGTGGGGGCCTCACCTTGTAGGGACATGAATGTAAGAGTGAGGATTTTAAACTGATATCTATACTCAACCAGAAGCCAGTGCAAGGATTTTAACACAGGGTTTATATGGGAGAATTTATGACTGACTGATTTAGGAAAGCCTTAGATCAG